TGCGTGCGTGCGTGCGTGCGTGAATGAATACTTGTGCATACTTAAGTTTATATTTATTTTAACATGTAAATAATATTATACAAAAAATAATAGAACTAATACCTTTCAATCCATATTTTTTAATATCAGCATATGATGACACATAAAAATATTACAATAAATTATTAATTATCGATAACAAAAAAGAACATATTGTATGATATACTATGTATTATTTATAATAAAATTTATTAAGTTTTATTAACTGAATATACGTATATAAAACATATATCAATTACATTTTTCAGTAGACTGTATAAAAGTTTGATGTTTGTTAATGAGAACACTGACTATCGATTGTTCGATTTCTTCACCTTTATTTAATTGATCGTTGGTAAGAGAAATAACATAATTGTCTTCTTGACTGACAATTGTTACTTGCTGTTTCCGAGTTTGCAACATATTAGCTATAACTAACTGTAGAAAAAAAATATCAGTATGTATAAAAAATCAATTTATTCTCTCTTTGTTATATTATATGTTATACTCACGTTGTGTTTGTACTTATTTAGTGCATTTCTTGCTTTTGATATTAAAAGATTTTCATCAGTTTCTAGTTTAAACGATACTACAAAAGCCTGTGGGACCCACAAACTTACAAGAGGAGCTAATATTTTTGGTACTAACTGTAAGGATATTGTTGGTGGTCCACTAGAAGAAATTTTGTGAATCGACTAAAAGTTTAAAAAATATTTTATATATATATCCACATATGCGTGTACATTTCATTTTTTATACAAAATTTCAAAAGTATATACCAATTCATTGGATGGAATATAAAAATCTGAAACTGCAGCCGCAAGATACAATATTGCTTTATTTTTAAGACAAGCTAATGCTTGACAGGCAGCTCTAAGAAGCCAAAGATACTCAGAAAGTGTAGTAAAAGTAACTTGCAATAGTTTATCTTGGTTCAAAGTTTCTTTGTACTTGTATAATATTTTCGTCAATTTTTCTTTATATTGTGGTAAAACTAAAATGGATAGAAGCATTTAAAATGTTACTTTATTTAGTGATCTAAAGAGAATACTCATACCTGTGATTGTATTTTTTCCATTCTGTTCAGTGACATCTATCATATCTAATAATTTCTGTCCTTTAAAATGCCTTGAAAATGGTTCTAGAGAATTAAGCCTAGAAATAAATTGCATATAAATGTCAATTAAAGTAAATAAGTATATAGTATGTTCTTAAACATTTGTCAGTACAAACTACCTATACATAAAAATTACAGCATATCCGTTTTCTAAAAAGTATTCTGTAGATACAGATCCTCTTGTTCCTGCACTAAAATTGTCAACAAATCTTACTGTATTGTGTTCTAAAGGTATAGTTGTACCGCCACTCTATAAAATTGATACGTGATAGTTATAAATAATACTACTCATGCAATATAAAGCAATAAGAGTAAATACTCACTGTTACTAATACAACTTTTTTGTCTTTTTTTAATTGTCGTTCTACAAATGTCTTCAGTAATATTTCGTTCTGATTAAAATCTTGAGGTGGTGGATGTTTGGCATAAAAATCTTCCCAAGTTGTATTCATATTTTTATACACACGATTTTACTACAAAACGACGTTTTCAATTATGTGTGCAAAGCGAACAGTAAATATCACTTTGTAACTTTGAAATTAACGCAGTAAATTCTATATAATTATATGTAAATCATAAAATAAAAAATAAAATAAAATCTGATAAATAAATAAGGAATTATTTATATTGTATCACATTAAAATTGTAATCGTTTCTATAATCATATTTCATTAAATATTATAAAATAGATCTATAAAACATTTACTCTATGTAATCGGTATTACATTTTTCTTAAAACGTAAGTAGTACGAAGATCAGTTTTTTGTACGTTAGAATAATTCATTTTCATTCACGAATAATGATGTATTGGTGCATTTACACTATGATTCTAGAACAATATTAATCTAAAGAAATTCCCTAACTTTGAGACTAGTATGAATATTTATCTATTATATGTGTATATATATATATATATATGATGCATGAATGGATATATGTATGTATACATGTAACTATTCAAACAGCTCGAGAAATTTGATGTTTAACGAAGAAAGGAATATCGTAGATAACTCGCAATTGACATCCGCGCTATCTTGCGATATGTTTAGTAATTTAGTGTATGTAATCGATAAAAACGTTCTGTTACATTACCACATATTTTACGACTATCGTAATCGTGACCATTGACTTATGCTACTACACCTTGTTCAGATCATTTTTTAATATCTTCTTTTGTATTACTGAGTATATACTTAAAAAGTATATATTTGTAACTTTTATATTTTATAGGTATACAAACACGATGATCAAGATTATTATGATAGAGGTGGAATCATACATATGTATTAAGCTTTATGGCATTAACGAAATAAAAGATCTTGAGCTTTATTGATATTTAAATATTTATTTCATACATACATGTTATCTAAATATCATTTATACAATATATTTGTTCAATATTACTACTAATAATCACCTGTCGGTAATATAAGAGAAAATTACCTACATAAATTACAAATTAGCTTAACTGATAAATTGTAGTTTAGCTATTTAGTATTCCGGCGCAGGTGAAGCTACGTTAGGTCTATCGTGAATTTTTATAAACTGCAAATAAAAATTACCAAAATCGAATAATTACGCAAGTACTAAATCGTTAAAAATAACTGTCAAGTACAATCAGGACTTAAGTGTCATCTATTTTATTAATTGGGCATCACTTTCACTAATGCCATTTATTACAGATGCCAACATACCTTGTATTCTTTATTTTTATATTCGTTCCATGGTTCGGGATTCCTTCTACTATTCCACGTAACATCAGGGCTTCGAAGAGCCAGACGTAATAAATAACCCGCTGCGCCTAAACCTCCGAGTCCGATAGCTAGAAACAGAGGAGCTAACTAAAAAGAAACAAACGGATTTCCTTGAAATGAACAATATTGCCCGTGATTTCCCGGCTATGTTCTTTCACGTACCATTGAATTCTTTTTAAAAGATTTCCATGAAAGACCCTGCATTTTAGGACTCATCGTGCTGATGTACCAGGACACACCAAGGTTTTAGACTCCACTAGAACCCTTTACACTTTGTTGAAGTTGAACTTACTAGAGCATTTATATGAAATCAAGATACTGTGCAGATCCCGAATGAAATCTTTATGAAAACGAGCCTAGAATGTTTCAAACATTGATAATGAAGCTTACACAGATTAACACTGCACACTTCTAAGATATCGTTACGTTAGTTTATTTTCAAAGAGCTTTTAAATTATTAATTGCATTATATATTATAATAATACAATATACGTTAATACGATAAATCATTTTTAAAAGATTTTTATTTGATAAAAAAATAATAAAATTAAAATAAAATTCTCTTACATATAACGTATAAATTACTAAATTATAGTTCTAGCGTTGGTTCTAGGATAATACATTTACGATTTTATATTAGTTTGTTTCTCGCTGCTCGCTAAATTTAGCCATCTATACTGTTTACTATTTCATGACGGTATTTCAGAAATAAAAGTAAATTTTTGCAGTTTGAGGTCTGTATAAATATAAGTGTTGATCTCAGCCAACCGAGCCACCTTAGAGATATATGGAATTTTAATTAAATAATGTGCACATAAACTTGCGTTTGCAATGTGGTATTTTGATAAATAATTCATTTAAGTTTGTTAGACCGTCTGCTACCGTTAATGTCATTGCATTTGTCTAGTATAAGAATGAATTTTTGTTCGTGACACGTCTGAGGGAGTCGGCGATTTTTACTTTGTACACGATAAGCGGGATGGGTTTCTCTACGAGTCTACAAGGACAGTCATCGCACGAGGCATTGCTCGCTCGTCAAGATGCCGAGATCAAGCTGCTCGAGACGATGAGACGATGTTTGACGATCAAAGTTAAATCAGACCGTGAATATGCCACGACAATCTCATCGTTGACCATGCAAGGAAAAAAGATTGAACGTAATGAGGACCTTGTTGGTAGTTTAGTAGTGCAGGTACTTTAAAATTCAGTTCATAATTTGTTCCTTTTTAAAGTTTCTCAGTTGTTTCTCAGAAACGTTTGCTTGTAGAGTTGGAGGGACATTATGGATTCTATCGATCAGACTGCGAAATTAATCAAGCAGCAGGCCGATTCCATCGAGGCTATAGTAGTTGAACATATCACAACACTATACTCTGAAAGAAGACGAGCTAGGAAAATATATCAAGAGGAGCAAACATGGTTGAATAATCAGTTTCAACAGGTAAAAAGAAATTTCTATGATAGAAATAAAATATTGTTTACCATATCTTGTTTACTATATCTCACATTTATTATATCTTCTAGTTGACTGATGATGTTGCCAGAAAAAAGTTAGAGTATCAGAAGAATCTAGAAATGTATAAGTTGATGAGATCCCGTTTTGAAGAACATTACGTCAAGTGTAAGTATTTGCATTATTTATTAATGTATGATTGTTGGTCATAACTCATGATATTTATGTAGCTGGTAGAGTTGGTAGAAAATTGGACGAAGTAAGAGAGAAATACCAAAAAGCTTGTAGAAAACTTCATCTTACACACAATGAATATGTATTACTTTTGGGTGCTGTAACAGAATGCGAACACGACCTAAGAACTTGTTATTTACCAAGTTTGCTTCATCGACAACAGGCGATTCATCAAGAATTTATAACATCATGGTAAGCACATCTTGTTGATTCTAGGTTCAAAGAGAATTTATTACATATTTCTCAATTCTATTTTATGAATTGTTAATCCACTTTATGTGAAATTTTTATGCAAACATAATAGTGATAGGAAAGGTAAAGTTTAATAATTATCATTCTATTGACAATATTTATTGTATCATAAATAATTCTTTCCATGTTAGGAAAACCATACTTCAGGATATAGTGAAATATTCTGATTGTACAACAGATAAGTTTCAAGAGATACATCGACGAATGCAAAAAGCTGTAGATTCTGTAAAACCTGTAGAAGAGTACAGAGATTTTATAGGAAAACATAGGTATTTATTTCAAACTTGTATTTCTATTGCGTTTTAATAAGAATAATATTAAAAGGTTGATAACAATCGATACAGAACGCGACCAGCGTCACCGATAAGATTTATTTTTGATGAGAACCTCGTGGATGATACATCAGGAAAATTGTTGCCAAATAAATTAACAGTAGATAATTTAACTATAGATTGGTTAAGAAATCGACTAACAGAATTGGAAACTTCCTTGAAAGCAACTCAACAGAATCGACAGAATCCACAATATCCAGCGGAGAACAATAGCGATTCTAAGTAAGAATACTACATTCGATAATAGTATTTTTATTATATCATTAGCACTAAAACAAATTTATCTTCCATTTTTTATCTTTCATTTTAAATCAGAATATCGATTTTGGATTACTCTCGTGAAAGAGAAGAATTACGCTTACGCTGCCAAGAAAAGAGACTTCAACGACAGGTGGACGTTATTAGAGCTGCCTTAAATGAATTAGGTTGTGAAGAATTACCACTTGGATATGATCTTTCAATGGAAAGTTCTTTCACTGATTCACCCTCCATTAGTAAGGTAATTATAAAGTACTAAAAATATTTCTATTAATATTGTGCGTATTTTTCCCAAAAATGTTATGTTATTTGTTGTATATTACAAAATAGTTGTTCGATACAATATTTATTTCTAAAGGATTAATAGATTTAGCTAGAATCACTGCCCTTGCAGAAAAATACAGTTGCAGATATCGGTCTATTTACATTACGAAGAAATCAGCGATTCATGACAATATTTAGATCTCCTTTCAAATCTTTACCAATAATAAACAACACAAAAGATGGAACAATTAGATCGAGTAGCGAAGGTCCTACCTCAAAAGCAGATAATACTCTACCAGTTGTATGTTTTTTTCATGTTATCCATTTATTGTACAAACATAAACATGTTTTGTGCATAATTGCTTCTTTTTTATTTTGTATAATGTTGTACATACGTTTACAAAAAATATATGTTATAAAATATTTATAATTGAATTGATAATAATTTGTGTGTGATTTTTAATGTCAAGCATGTTTGTCTTATTACTTAAGTAAATTGCATTCAATTGTGGTTCTAAACTAACCTTTGTGATGCGTTTTAATGATAATGATTAAGACAAACAGGAAGAAAGAGAAATGATTTCTTGATATTTTGGATATGATTATCCAAAGTTTCTGCTTGTCAGATAAAATATTATATGTTTATTGTTATAGGCATTCCGTGGAATATCACATTTAACAACGAATCAAAAAGGAAATGGAGATCTTATGGAGGAAGAATGGTTTCATGGTGTGTTACCAAGGGAAGAAGTTGTAAGATTACTCGTAACCGAAGGAGATTTTTTAGTACGTGAAACAACAAGAAACGATGAATGTCAAATAGTTTTATCTGTTTGTTGGGATGGACATAAACATTTCATTGTGCAAACTACTCCCGAAGTAAGCAGTTGGTTACATTTATAATTATGTAATTTAACAAACACAGGAACAAAACCACGTATTTTTATTAATTTTAGGGACATTATAGATTTGAAGGTCCTACTTTTCCGTCGATTCAAGAATTAATTAGGCATCAATGGTTATCTGGATTACCAGTGACTAGTCGATCTGGAGCCATTCTCAAAACACCAATTTTACGCGAACGTTGGGAACTTAATAACGATGATGTAATTCTTCTAGAAAAGATAGGACGGGTATATGATTGAAATTTAAAGAAAAAAGAAGTTACTTTAATTTTTTGAAATTTAACATACTATTGTACAGAATTATCAAAATCGATCGAATGTTCAATGTAATTGATAGCCGACTTCAAGTTGAATTAATATGAATCTCATTTAATTGAAAAAAATTTGTCATTTCAAGTATTTGATTGAAAACTAAATCTTCAATTGTGAAACAGTGTAAACATTTTTAGGGTAACTTTGGAGATGTATATAAAGCGCAATTGAAAACTTGTAAGACTGAAGTGGCTGTAAAAACTTGCAAAGTAACATTACCAGATGAACAAAAACGTAAATTTTTACAAGAAGGGCGGATATTGAAGCAGTATGATCATCCAAATATAGTAAAGCTTATTGGGATCTGTGTCCAAAAACAACCTATTATGATTGTTATGGAATTGGTACCTGGTATATTCAATAAATTATTCTATTTGGCAATTAAATTTTTAAAGTTAAATAATTTTTTAAATCGTGAAATGCAACTGTTTATTGATATTAAATTAATTATTAATTAAATATGGTAGGTGGTTCCTTATTAACTTATTTGAGAAAAAATGCTAGTACTATCACGCAGCAAGAACAACTTCGAATGTGTAAAGATGCAGCTGCAGGTATGCGCTATTTGGAATCTAAATATTGTATTCATAGGGACTTAGCAGCTCGGAATTGTCTCGTAGGTAAATGAACATATTTTTAGTTACTACAAAAGTCACTTATGTAAAGTATGTAAATTATAAGAATATACCATAATATATTTTATTTTTAGGATATGAATCTATAGTAAAAATATCAGATTTTGGAATGTCACGAGAAGAAGAAGAGTACATAGTATCGGATGGTATGAAACAAATTCCAATTAAATGGACCGCACCAGAGGCACTAAATTTTGGTACTTGAAAAATTTTAAGATTATTACGTTTCATGCATATCTAAAATTCTAATTATTTTCTATCGTAATATTTTTTGCAGGTAAATATACGTCGCTTTGTGATGTGTGGAGTTACGGAATCTTAATGTGGGAGATATTTTCTAAAGGTGGAAATCCTTATAGTGGAATGTCTAATTCTCAAGCTCGCGAAAAGATAGATGCAGGTAATGTTTAAATAATTGTTTTTATTATTGTTATTATGATTATACAGAATATTTTGGAATATTTTAGATTCCAAATAAAAATTTTCTTTCTCGTATCTTTAGGTTATCGAATGCCAGCACCAGAAAACACACCTGATGAAATATATCGTTTGATGTTACGATGCTGGGAATATGAACCGGAAAAACGTCCTCATTTCGATCAAATATTTACTGTTGTTGAAACGCTTTCTCAAGCGTATTTATAAATGATAATTTTAAGTCAGTGTTAATCTATATCGCAAATAACATTCTTTTCACATTGTTTATTATAGCTCTCAATTTTCTCATGCAAATCTTATATTTCAGAATATGAGCTTTAAAAAACAATGCTCATTAAAACGTACGTACATGATATATCCATGATTTGCTATGAAAATCTCAATCATTCCAATAATCTGTGTTTTACAAAAATGATATAGAAACGATAGAAAGAAATAACTTTAAACTTAGCTTTAATATATAAATCCAAATATTAATAGATATTTATAGATTCTGAATATCTAGAATCTAATAAGAAAAAAGAAATTATTTTTTAACTGCCAGTAAATACTTTATTTGTTTTTATATACATATATACTTTCCATTATAATTTCTCTTGAAAGTACATAATTTTTTGTGTAAATTAGCATTGAGTTGATGTTTGGATTTAATATATATATTACGTTCAATCGAATTAAATATAAATAAAACCGTAAATACATTTGATATTTTCATAGCGAGTCGTTGATATTTTCATTTATCCATTGTATTTATACATTATTGTGAATAGAGTGTGAATATGTATCGTACTATGATGTAATGGTATACGAAAACTATTGGGTGATATCTTTGAGAACTTTCAGGACCCAATATTGATACATTTTCTATTGTTCATATTTTTGATTTTTTATATTAACAGTTCTGCCTTAAAATTCCTCATGTTATTTATATCCGTCCAAAAAATATTTCAATTTTATCAATCAGTATTTATCGGTATAATAAAGAATGTTGAATATTGAATTCATTTTTTTCCAAAATAGATTTTCTCATTGAGCATTAAAAAAACATGTAATATAAAAAATAATTATCAATTATAAAAAATTATTTACCATATTTTACAAAATTGAAATTATAAGTGTAGAAGTTTTATAAAAATTTGATTTTTATAATACGTAACTTAGCAATGTATAAGTTACTTACAATTTTTCATTTTCATCAAAGTCACAGAACGTATTAATTATTACTGTGTAATATAATACACTTAACTATTAAAATGCATTAGTTAATCCATAATCGTACCATAAATATATGCATGCATGTATGAGATGCGTAAGATGACCTACGATAAGTTATAACTAGTGAAAAATTTATAAATATTCAAAACTTAAGCTCCTCTGTTGTATTATAACATTGTGTATATGCTTTATTACGTGTTATTTTGAGTTAAAAGAAAGACGAGTTTGTTGTTATTTTACAATACTCAATATTATTTTAAAAATTAATAAAACTTGTACTGAAGCCTTTTATAAAGTTTGAGTTTTTGTTGTCAAGGTGTTTAAACATTTGTTATTTTTAGTGTTTAAGAAATTTTATTTCTAATTATATATTCTTATTAAAATTATTTCTATGTAATTACAATTTGATGTAAATGTATAGGTTTTATAAGTATAATTTAATAAGTTCATCGCTCACAGCCGAAGGTGTTAATATACCTAAATCAGTAAACAGAAGACTGATATAGTGTGGTGGAGTATAATCAACTAATGGATGTTCCTTCTGCAAATCTTTTTTTAACGTGCTTGCTGTATACTATATAGGAAATGACAACGAAAAAACAATTTGAACACGTAATTTTTTACTTCAAAATAACTGAAAATTTTATTACCTTAAATTCATTTGGTAAATCAACTTGATTTAACGGATATATTCTTGAAAATTTGAAGCTTTCTGTTAATACATAAAATGGTTTTTTTACTTCTTTAGCGCACATTGCCAATGTATACGTGCCAATCTGTCAATACAAAATATCAAATTAAAATAAAAATTCATAATGTTGCTGACCAATTAAGAAAATTATAATATACCTTATTAATGATACCTCCACTTTCTACAACTCCTTCAGCTCCTACCATAACCATATCAACTTGTTCCATAACATATCCCATTGCAGAATCTAATATCAAGGTGCAAGATACACCTAATTTTCTTAAATTTTGACACATTTCTTCCCTGGCCATTGAGAACAAGTATATTATATATAAACGTTTTAAGTTATTACAAAATGAATACATACCCACTATTATCTGGTGAGGAACATGTTACATATACTTCAAATATTTTGTTACTTTCAACAGCTCCCTTCATTGCTTGTAATACAACTCTAGATTTTGAGTGTGTAAGTATTTTCTAAAACAAAATGTTACATTATAATTGGGAGCTAAAGGAATCTTAAAACAAAAACGAAAATATAAAACAAAATTACAGAACCATCCTTAATGAAATGTGCTGCAACTTTTGCTACTTTGCCTCTGGCAGCCACCAATTTCTCATAAAATATATTTCCTCTATGGAGCATAATACCTCTGCATTCTGCAAATGTCTAATATCAAATAATATAAGATAACAATGAATGATTGTGACCTACAATCTTAAATGTATTTATAAAATAAAAATCAAAAAAAGCAAGGGAAAAAACAGAAAGAAGATGAGAAATCCTGACAAATTATGCAATAATATTCTTACAGAAGTGTCTAACGCAGTCAAAGTTATAAAACGAAGAAATAATTCACTGCCAGATGCAATAGCAGTTACTGGATTTTCGGTAGATCTCATCGCATCTATTGCATTTTGTAAACAATACCTAAGCTCTTGAACTGTTTCAGCTATAACAGAAAAAAAATATACAATGAAGACATATTTTCTTTAAAGGTCTGTTAATATTTTCTTACACTTTGAATACTGCAAAACTTTTAGTAATGTACGTATAGCAGCCATCCCAGCAGAAATATCTTTTTCATTTTTGATGATACCATTGAAGTATTGACAAATTTCTGAGAAAAGAAATAATAAGTACAATTATTCGTTAGTTTGTTTTTTATTTCAAAATAATTTACCTTCCTTTTCCATAATATTTGCTCAATTATGACGGCTAGTTTTATTTGCAGAGTAACACACGTGTATGTCACTCACTAGTTTTAGGTTAGTATTAATACATATTTGTATGTTTAAATATATAAAAATGCGTGTATATGTATTGCATATTCACATCATAAATTTTTTACAATAAGAAAATTAAGATAATTAAAATTAAATAGAGACTATGTAAGTGTAAACAAAAAAATTGCTATAAGAATCTGATGTACTATTTTGTTCAATAATGAACAAAATGTTGCTATATTTTACTAATTAGCTATATAAACTTTTTATAATATACTGATATTATTAAATATTTAGGAATTTCTCATTGAGTACTCATGTATGCTTATATAGTACCAATAATAATACAAATATTTCAACGTGACGTAGAAGTAGAATTATCGCCATTATTTAGAAAGATATTCTGGAATTAATAATTCATTCTTAATTATATTTTATGATAAATAAAATTGACAAATATATTCTAAATATTTAATGAACGTAGTATATATGTCGAAATGATTACAGTATATATGTATATATATATATATAAATATAAATATAAAATATATTTATATATTTATTTATGAATATGTATATATTGCATTGCTAATTGTTTTATTTTACAACGTATTATACTGAGATTTTATATATACAATTTCATTAATATAACTTTCCAGAAACAAAATATGCGATTACAATCACAATTATCCGACATAAAGGATTGCACCTCCGTAATAGAAAGGTTGACAATAAAATGATCGTACAAGATGTCGACGTTCACGTAAATATTTTTTATGAAGAGTCCAATTCAATTGATTTAACCAAGAATGAAATTCAACATTTTTCATACAAGCATTAATCAGAAATGCTTTATTCTTTCGATTGTTTGATTCCCTGGAAAATATAAGAATAATTTTTTATTTATCTTTTCTTCATCTCTTCTTTTTACAAGGTAGGTGTGTCACGAAAGATTTAAAAGATTTTACCGCACGATACTTGAAGCGATTCTTTTTTCTTTATCCAATTTTGTCTTTTTCTCATTTTTTGATATATTTAAAACATATTCATTGACAATTTGGCCCTCATTGATTGTATTACAGTTAATTATAGCATTTGTCCGTTTAATCGTTTCCAAGTGTTTTCTGCAAAATAACTTCTGCTTTCGATGATATCTATCTTCCTGTTTTTTACGTATTTGTGCCTTATGTTAAGAGAAACAAGTAAATAAAATTGTTAAATAGTATTATAGAAATGTGGAAACGCGGAAAACTGTGAAATGTACTATAATCTACCACCTCTCGTGCAATCTTTTTCCATTTCATATTTGCCAAGTTTTCAAGTAATTTCTGCTGCTGTTCCTTTTTTATTTTCTTGAGTATCTGTTGGTACGTAATAGTTTTCTTATTTTTCCAAGCTTCGAAAGACAATTTTCTTTCACTTTGTTGTTGCTTGACTAATCTATATTTCGTTTTTTAAACAAATGCATAAATGCATAATATCATAAAGATATCCAAGAATGCAAACCTTAACCATTGAATCAAGAGCATCAGAATTTTTCATATTTTATATGATTAAACAATGAGATACTAATTATTACAATATTATAATGAAACTTATTATATTAAATTGTGTTCAAATTTTTTAATTTTACTAAAAACTTGTGAGATGTTGAAAATCACGAATGATCCTAATTCAATGGTCACAGGCTGTAAGTAACTTTATTCAGCGAAAAATAATAACCCATGGCTAGATTCAGATTTATGAGCTTTGTTGTAAACGTTGTTTGTTCGAATTTGCACCTCATTCGTTGCACATTTCGTCGAATTATTCCAAAGTTCGATAATTTTATCATCATCATTGGTTGCAGGATGATTGGTTTGGTCTAGTTCATTTAAATTGTCACTTTTATTGGTAGCAAACTCCTTCTCGTTGGTTGAAACTAAATTTTGTACTTGCGTCATTTCCGACTGTCCCATCGAGTTTTCTTCGTCTGTTGATATTTTACGGATGATCATTAGAGAGGATCGTTTATATTTGTGACGACGAAATCTACGATGCGCGACCGTTGCCGATATGTTCTAAAAATTTGAAAGCACAAAACTTTGTACGCAAACATGGTTAAACTCATACTTAATACTTGTCAATACCTGTTCATTCGATTCTAACGATTTCCTTTCATCTTGTATCCAGTCGGTGGTTTTTAACGCTGACAGTTTTTTGATATTCCATTTTTCATAAATCGTATGATGAAATTGTATCATTTGTTCTACATGAAATTTAAAACCGTAATAATATAATATTATGTATAGTACGTACTAGCAAAAAGAATGTTGGCTACTACGCTAATGTATTAACCATTATTTTCTAACGCTCCATCGATCATTTGTTCGACGAGATTCTCAAAGTTTTGAACCGAAGTACTTTTAGTTTTCATTCCGAAATTTAATTTAATTTTCATTTCTCTCGTCTAATGCATATATATATATATATATACATATAATTTAAAAGCTTGGACGACTTATTTTTAACATGGAAGAAAATAGAAATCAAACTTAGCGCATGACTTGTACATAGTATAGTATAGTATAATATAGTAATGTAAGACGACTTACAGATGCAAGAAATTTTCCAAGAAATTAAGGGTACATTGTAATGGCAAATTAGAAAATGAATAAACAAACGATAGATGGGTGAATAGATAAACGGTATAAATAAACGATTCATCAAAGCTGAAACAATCGAGATATAAACGATCGCAGCTGTATTCGTGTAATGTTCATTGTATTATGTACAGTAAGTAGATAGATTCAATTTATAGACGTAATTTATTAAATTACACATTTATATGTAAGTGCGCGCACGTATATACAATAATTATAATATAAATAAGAAATGATTCGTCTCATATGCTCATGAGTATACATATATCTAGTTACATATGTTCACGTTGGTGCACTGTAATATTGAACGTATAAACAAGGAGTCTTGGCACTCGCAATCAGAGGTATGCAAACGATAATTGTACAACCATGGAAAAGGTATTGTAAAGCGCATTTGGAATTTGGAAGCACGGATCCGTTCCTCGCGCTTAATTTAAATTACTTTTAATCCAGTCTATATATTCCGTGACACGGGTGTATACCCCCGGATATCCAGGTTCTCCGCACTTGTTGCCGAATGAAACGATACCGATTTGAATCCATCTGCCGTCTGCTCTAAGCATAAGAGGACCACCGGAATCGCCTTGACAAGCGTCTTTACCACCTTGACTGTAACCAGCGCATAGAAAATTGCTGGTAATCGGTTGAAAGTAAGCTGCGTTGCAGTCTTCGTTCCTCCACACTGGCAGCACCGCCTGTCGTTGCACCGTGCTTTCTTTTCCGCCTGTCGAAAAAATACAAGCTGAGCTCGATTCTTAAAAAACTCATTGAGATGGATACGATATACGTCACTGCGATAGGAAAGATATGTATATATACCGTAATAAGTAGTACCCCATCCGACAACAGTGGGTCTGGCGCCTGCGAATCGTTCCTTTCGATAATGCAGCTGCGGCAGACAAATCGGTATAACGTAAGGTGATTTTCGAACGGTTCTAGTCAGCTCGAGGATCGCGATGTCGTTGTAAAATCCAACGCGGGAGAACTTCGGATGCGCGTGGATCTGCTTGACTGCGTAAGTTTCCGGAGCGGATGGTTCGTCGTTCCTCTCGAGGTCAATGTCGCCGAGACGCACGGTGAACTGCCTGGCGGTGAATCTGCACGGGTATCACAAAATCCAGGCCGTTTTATCCAGCTGAGGATTCGGGGACATCTACTTACGAACGAGCGAACTTACGGCCGTTGGCGATGATCACGCGTGCAATGTGCCGCAGTGAGGATGTAACGCGATCCGATCAGAGACCCGCCACACCAGAATTCCGTGCGTTTAGAGCCGTGCAAGAATATCGCCGCCATCCAAGGCCAACGTCCCGGAAGAGCCTCTTCTCCACCGACCACTCGATACTTACCCGAGTTTCGTACTCCGCATTCTACAGAGGAAAACGATTGCTATCGCTTTTTTTTATTAGTTTCTACATATGCCGTACGTTTTATGTTATACGTTTGTTAACGTACTACGAACAAACGATTTACCTTCGTCGTCTTGTATGAGATTATTGTCGATCGTGCCGCCGGTGGTTGTGCCACCAAAGAAATTGTTTGAATGATTCACCGACTGGCCGACAGCAGAGGGTGATACTGAAACGAATTCTGTAGTTAACAGTTCGGCAAGATTCGTCGGCGTAGTCGTTATGGGGAACAACGGTATCGGCCGAGGAGTTTGATGCGGTTTCGTCGGACGAATTGGCGGTCGCAATGGCGGATGTACGGCTGACGTGATCCCCCCTGGATTTGGGAATATACCGGCTATAGGACTGAAAGTTTCACGCATATTTTTACGTCTATTTACATGTTCACAGGCTGCAGTAATTGTATAGAAAATCGTATAAAAACGAGCGTTTTACCTCGTCTCGTTGATATCGATTTTATCCGTCGTTTGACAACAAACTCCCGGGACGAACAGGCTTTTAAAGCATAAAGACTGTCTGAGTTTGGTCAGATCTAGCAATAGTTGAGGACAGTTACTCAAATCTTGACATTTCCCGGGATTACCGTCCGCTGTGGTGCAGTCAATCGACTCTTTTGCCTTGTCATCTTGGTTGACCTCAACCGCGAAAGAAGATGAGGAGGAGGAGGTAGAACTATCGATTGGTACAGGTCGCAAAGGTAAAGCTACTCCTCGAACTAATGGCGCGATGCTGTCTGTTACGTTACGTCCTGACAAACAAACACGACAGAATCGTGTATTTAACGTTAGAATGAGAAATCAGATTGTCAAATATAAGAATGGCCAACTTGTCGATGTTTGCTCTTATGGATTTCCAGCAGACTAGTTTCAATTAATTTGTTTGACATGCGATGAAAAAGAAATTGATCGCCAGATCCCAATGACTTTGAATGGTACAGTATATCGTTGAAAAAACATGAGATGTGATTATCCTGCCATTATATATATTTTCGACGAATTCATTGGTGCAATCTTATGATCCTATCTATCATGTTAGTGCCGGTGATATATCGGCTTTTCTACTTTTTTTTAAATCTTTTCTTCTTTTTTCCAAGATCATTGCGATCCGACTATTTATTCAAAAAATTCTTCCGATCTTTCTTTCTTTTTTTTTTGTTTTATGTGCACGTCAAAGTAAAGTATTATCGACATCAATAGATTCGCGGTGAGAACTGATCTTACCTAAAATGTTCTTCGAGATGGTATATATGGCCGACGGTAGTTCCTTTGGCGGGTAACTCGAGTTCTCCATACCCCTGGTCATATTGACGATGTAACTACCGACGGTGTTTAAAGCGCCTAAAGTTTCGGTGATGGTAACAAGTGGATCCGGTTGTTCGCGTTCGACTTTCGCTAACCTTACGTAAGGTCTGACATGCACGTTCCTCCGGAAAATTGCCGATCTTTGTGAGTCACCGCTATCCCATCCATTCGTTTCGCTCCATCCCCGCGTCGGCGTTACAAACCTCTGGGGTGTCCCGTATCTGTTCGATGCTGTATCGTTCATATCGCGTGCATGTTATTACAACGCTACGTGCATAAGCTACGCGTACGTAGACAAATTCGTATCTGATTCGGGTCAATTTGAGATTTTTTTTTTTTTGTCCCTCCGAATATATTATACATTCATCTCGTGTAACAACGTAGCAGACTGACGATGAGATCCGTTACTTACCAGTATGATAACGATAACGGCCGACTTGTTCGGTGTATGACCAGCAACTCGTTAGCAAACTCCATATTACACATAATTCTGAAACATTCGTGTGTGTTAATAAACAGCATAAAAGAGAACCAATGATAATATATATATTTACTGATTCACTATCTGAACATTTTAGTATCCGAAAAGAATATTCATCGATAACAGATACCTTTTTTTTTTACTTCGAACACGTTATTACATGTACTTGACGTACTTATTAGTTTCTTAATTTCGTTACATAAATACAGGATTAATATTCAATTTTCACATGAAACAAAGAAAGAATGATTTATTTTCATGGAGTCGTTCATCTTAAGAAAATGAGCTAGATAAATTTGATAAAATATAATGCTTATATTACCGTCACTTTTCTGTGCTTTTCAACTTACGAAGTTGATCAATGCGTGCTTTCTGAACGGCTCAGTTACAAGAATAATTTACTGCAATACCAGATACGAGATTTTATTATAAAAAAAAAAAAAAATTAAAAAAAAAAATGTGAAACGTATAATTATTATGATAATTATGTTTAATTATGTTTGTTACTTTCAATTCCGTAATAGATCGATGCTTCGTTTACGACTGACGATATCGCGAACATAATTTTCCCACAAACTGAAACAGCAAACGAAAGTGATAAGAATGTGTTTTCTTACTGTGGAACAAAAGTCGATTGTAAGCACAAGAAAGAACATACTTGCTCAAAGATTTCAATAGCAAAAAAAATTTCACAGCATTCTTAAATTATGAAAATAAATAACATCAGAAAAGTAGCTGTTCTATTATTCAAAAATTTCATTAACAGTTTCATTAGTTTCAGCAGGCTTTACTATACATTAATTATCTGTCCCCTTTCTTCCTCTACAAAGAATTAATAAAAACGAATATTATGAATAAATCTGTTCGATTTTATCAATCGGTTGGTAATAAAATTAGAGATTAGAGAAACGTGTTGCCGAAACTTCGTGTAATCGTTGAACAATTACAAACAAAGCGATCGTTGTTTGAGTCACTCATTTTCAAATAAATTGACGACGATTTCACCGTCCACAGCGAATTAAGATCTAATTGTAAGCGGCATAACTACATTTACGTATTTACGCGTTTGCGTTTTTGTATTTCATATTTGAAAATTTTTGACTCGCGTTTACAACTTACGTGTGCTCCATCGAAGGACAGATTTGCCCTTTTTACATCGGTAACCTATTAACACGATTTCTTGCGAGTCTAAAAGTAAAATCGGCAGGAAAAACGTATGTACAAGAAGAAGATAACTCGGGTCTTCGTGAAATCAAATTGGAAACGTAGCGAAACCATCGGTGAAACTTGTCCAGTTTCGCGAATCGGTTGCGCTCGAACGTGGAAACATTGTCAGGAATTGGGGAAATCTTGTTGAGGCTCGAGGGGATACGTTTCAGAGCGACGCGCCGCCCGTTTCTCAGAGACGTTCATCTCTCAGGAAGAGGACAAAAGAAAGCGAATGATCGAGCGAACGTTTTTTGAAATCAGTTTACGCACACAGATTTCATCGATGGTGAAAGTTGCCCGACGAGAAAGTGTGCCTTCCTTCCATTCACTGATTCATCATCGTGCCATACTCTCGTACGATAATACAACTCGAGGAGAAAAGAATCGAGAGAGAGAGAGAGAGAGAGAGAGAGAGAGATCACAGCACGCGTTTATTTTAATCGATTAAATCTATTAAACGGAAGTGCGATCCTCGCATTTTCCCCGATTTTACTCGCCACCTTCCCTTTTCCGTGTCGTTTACTTTCATCTTTGTCGATCGAAATATCCTGGTATCCTAAGCAAAATGTCGATTTTCTTTTCTTTTTCTTCATCCAACATTCCATGTCACGCACATTGTCGCAATTTTCTTTTTGCGCCCGCATTGTACGATTCTCGAGGCCTCACAAACAAGTGAAAATGAAAATGAAAATGAAAATAGCCGTGGTAACTTGCGTTTCAACGCGAATAACGTGAACGCTGTGCACAAACTGGGGTTCAAAGTTTGGAAGGATATTCAAGTTTCCGCGCGTAAACGCGAACCGCGACGAAACACGGACCAACGTTTCGCGAGTTTGTCGTTCGAAAAATTTCGAACAGAATTGAAACGTTGTTGAACTCTTTCATCGCGACATCTTTCACCGATGACATCTAATCGTTCAGATCGTTCGACAACGCGAAAGGATCCACGACGGAGTTCCGTTCATTGGCGCGTTACTTGGCTTTTGAATCATTCGAATCTCACTTACTGAAAACAGTGGACGACGACAGCATCCTGATCCAGAGGAAACATTCAACCGATCCTTTTCACGGATACATTCCACGCGTTTTTATTGGTACCACAGTTAACAGTCACGAACGGGCACACTACGTTCTGCTATTTTAACAAAGTTATCGCGCCCGCGAGACTACCGGCGCATTCTCCATCGTCTATTGAGCTTCTCCCCTTGGAGGAGGAGGGGGCGTAAAAGAGGGGGACCGGAAATAAAGTGGAGGAAATAAGGAGGGAAAGGATGAGAAGGCGAAGGATGAGGAGGGATAGTAGAAGAATCGAAAAAATCGGGGGTGGGGGTAAATGAAAAAAATTCAAGCAGAGGAAGGAAATCATCGGATCGTACAGTCACGATTACACGATGTGTAGCCGCGATTGCCAACGACTTGTCCGTGAAAAGGCCTCGACACACTTCGTTCCCGACGAAATTATTCCCTCTCTCTCTCTCCTTCTTTCCCTCTTTCACAACTACCATCCTTGACTCGTCCGACCGAGGGAAAGTGTTCTCTATCGTATTTCTCTATTCGTTCCCCTTTTGCTTGTTCACCTGGTCCCTTTCGCTTAGCATGGCAGATTCGCCGTGCAACGCACTGCATACTTACGTAGCAAAGCGTGGCAACGTAAACAACTCGTTTCAGCCCTGACGAAAACAAAAAAAACTATCCGTTTTTCTGATTTACTACTGGCAGAAATTATTCTCGAAAGTTTCGCCTACCAAACGCGAATCCGTCGACCGATGAGAAAACTGCACGAAACGAGGATTCTCGTTCGTACCAATGCTGGAATGAAAAAGGCAAGAAGTGCTATTCGATACGTGTCTATTATTCGTGACATTGCAAAACAAATGGCTCCGATATATCATAAATTTATTTCTATATCATGGTGGTTGGTGCTATAATGAAACATGTTACGTGTTCCACATAAGAACCTAATTCCAATATCGTTAGATACACTGTTTTTGTTTCGTGAAATTCAATATACAAATTGTCCAGTCATATTCTTACGAGAATATGTACGTATTTCTACAATTGAATCGATTGAAAATACACGATGTAACTGTTTTTTAACACTATATGTGTATGTCTTATCATCCTATATAAGAATATCTCCAACGATGTAAATTGCAAATGAATGCGCGATTTTATATCATCTTATAAGAATATCTCCAACGATGATATAAATGAATTCACGTTATTGTTTAAAAGAAGTTGCAAATAACAATCAATACAATGTACCTTATAAATGTAATTATGCTGTAGACAAACGAAAAACTGTTTGTCCCAATTTGACCGTCTCTCTCTAGATCTCTAAGTCGGCTATTAACAAATGTACAAAAATCTATTAAACTTCAGTATTACATTCACGCCGTATATCGCGTATAAGTAGTCTATGTTTATATTTATCTCAGTGAATACCACTTTATCTGTTTACAGCAATAACAATAGTGGTAGCAATAGAGCAATAGTAGTAGCAGCAGTAATAGTAATAGTAGCAGTAATAGTAGTAGTAGTAGTAATAGTAGTAATAGAGTAGTAGTAGTAGTAGCAGCAGTAATAGTAGTAGTAGTAGTAGTAGTAGTAATAGTAGTAATAGTAGTAGTAGTAGCAGCAGCAGTAATAGTAGTAGTAGTAGTAGTAGTAGTAGTAGTAGTAGTAGCAGCAGTAATAGTAGTAGTAATAGTAGTAGTAGTAGTAATAGTAGTAGTAGTAGTAGTAGTAATAGTAGTAGAATAGTAGTAGTAGTAGATGTACACAATGATACGTAGAAATAGTAATAATAGCACTATTACTTTTATTTTCTTTCTCCAAATCGTAGATATAAAAAAAATCCAACGATGATGTGAAATTTTCATGGAAATTAAGCAGATAGAAAGTTTGAAAGTTTGCTACTAACGATAGATTAGACGAGTATCGGGAGTGAGACGTTCAGTTCAATTTAATTCATTCAAAATTTAATTGAAGGGTGGCAACGCAATTGCGAAGAGCCGGAAACGATTTCTAATACATGTATGTACATATCACTCATTAATGAGAGAAGTTGTTTGCACCTGTTCTACAAAAAAATCACAATTTCTTTGTCAAATGCAGGCAATTGCATTACAATTGAAATCTCACGTATATTAACTGTTGAAATATGAAGTTTGATTTGACAATAATATAAATAATAATTTAGTGTGCGTGTGCATATGTGTGAGTGAATGTAGGCGCGCATATATATATACATATATATATATATATATATGTCTAATGTCAGAGTCGGGTGGATATAAAAATTCACCAATTATTCGTTATAATGATACAAATCAGCGATGTAAGATCAATATTTCCTCATACTCGGTATAGATGATTTATATGGATCGAAACGATCGTACGAAGGTGCTGTTCCAGGCGCTGTCAATCCTATAGATTGAATAGGACTGCTTTGATACGTTGGTGGTACTGGATGCCGTAATGTATTTCCAATGCTACTTGAATTATTCCATCTGAAATCGTATTGCTTGTTGTTAGATCATTTTTATTCAAGAATCATATGGAAATTTATTGAAAAGAAAGAGTAAATGGATTCGATTTATTACCTGTTTAAATTATCGGAGGATCTAGAGCTCCAACTAGACGGTTCATTTCGAGGATCTCGAGTTCCGCTGCTCGGTACGGAATTAAATGATTTTGTAGATGGAGGTCCAGAATGCCAGCTGCTAGTTGTTCTATTGCTTTCAACGTACCGACTGTCACCTACATTACATAGAACAAGTATTAACCAATCAAGTTTTAATCCAATAACATTTTGAAATCGTTTCGTTTCACTAACGTGGTGTGCTAGAAGCTGTAGCTGTTTTGAAGCTGTCACTGTATCGTGTATGACTATCCCTAGAACTTCTATGGGTGTCCGTTTCAGAACGTCTAATATCACGGTCACGTGTATAAGTTGTACTTGCACGTTCATATCTATACAAAAATATTTCTATAGTTTGGAAAAACTCTCCTTTCCCGTTCTACCTCGCCCCCTCTATCTACATTGCTCTATCTATTTCTACTTTACCTTTCCTTAACTTGTCGAGGATCGATAGATGTTGCTGTCGTGCTAAGAGTTTCTCGGCGTACGATCACTTCTCTTCCCCGAGATACGTCAGAAAAACTATCGGGACGACTACTGCGAGAAGTGAACTCGCTGCTGCGTTTGAATTCCTTCTTTAATCCTAAATCCTGCGCAGATCTGCAATTCGTTTTGCAATTCTTTAACATTTCTGCTGTTTCTATTTCTTTCGTGCAAGAGAGGAACAAACATGGGAAGTAAGTGTCTTACCTACTAGATTCGTAGCGAGTAGGTGGTGACGCGTCCAGTCGTCTATCCGATACACGATCTAAAATTTCACCGCGACGATCGCTTACACGTTCCGGAATGTGTTTTCGACTATGTTCGGTGGCCAAACGTTTCCTATCTGGTTCAACATACATGTCTCTAGGATCTCTTCTGTCGCTAGAACATCTCTTAATAGACGGCGGGGGCGGAGCACGCCTGCTCTCTTCTAATCGCATCTGCTGCCTCTTTAATTCCAATCTTTCTCGCTCTAACTTCTCCCGTTCCAGCTTTTGACGTTCCCGCTCAAGTCGAAGCAATTCGGCTTTCTCCTGCTCAATTCTTTCCCGTTCTCTTCGCAATTTTTCTCGCTCTCTTTCCAGTCGTGCAGCCTCTTCTCTTTGTCTACGTTCTACTTCTCGTTGCCGCTCCATGTCCTCTCTTCTTCTTCGTTCCTCTTCACGAAGCATTCTCTCTCTTTCCCGCAGCCTTTGCCTTTCCCGTTCCTCCTGAAAATATGCACTCTTGCTTTCTCTCCTTCTCTCCCCCGCTTCGTAATCGACCTTTCAATGATTAAATCGTTAATATGGACTATTACCCTGATCTTCGCAAACGTCAGCACGTCGTCGCGTCTACGCCGTTCGCGGCTGCGAGATCGAGTGTGAGATCGGTGATGGTCCCACGAACGAATTCTCTTCTCGTCGCGTCTTCCTCTTTCGCTCTCCGGCTTCTTGCTGGTGGACTTGGTCGATCGGGAATCAGCATCCTTCGAAACTTCATCTTTCTTCTCTTGTATATCTGCCTTTTTACTATCGATGTTCTCGTTGCTCTTCTCATCCGACTTTTTCACTGTTACAGCACGTTTAAACACTCCTTTTACAGCCACATATAATATCGGTTTTTATGAAAATTATCTATTCGAAAATCACTCACTTGCTTCCGATCCTTTGTCCTCCGTTTCTTTCTTAGTTTCCTTATCCTTCCGATCACTGATCTCGTGGTTATCCTTTATCTTTTCCTTCTCTTCTTTCTTTTCCGATTTCCCATTCGTGGTATCCCGTTTACGCATGTGACTCTGTTGTGTGTCACCTTTCGCCTTTAAACACAAAGGAGAGAGGAGCATATCAACTGAAAGCTCTATAGAAGGACAGGGATATTTCTTTACTTTTTTTTGTTTTCTTATTTCATCTACCTTTTCTACAGAAATCACACGCCCGTGAAGTTCAGTTCTATGCAGATGTTGTATACATTTTGCCGCGTCTTCGCTTGTAGACATGGTCACGTATCCGTAGCATCTTGCACCAGGCGTTCTTGCATTTGTAACCACTTTTGCACCTATCACTTTCCCATATTTCGAAAATATTTGTTTCAAATCTGTCGCACGTGTGCTCGATGACAATCCGGACACCCACAAGTTTCTGCTGCTCGCATTAACAGGACTGATTTGTGAAGTCTTTTTATCTACAGAACGAACGAAATAATTTCAAAAGGTAAAAAAAAAAAAGAAAAAAAAGAAACAAAACCGAGGATCTACGTAAGTATTCTAAAGCAATACTACGTGGTTGAGATAATTTGAAATTGGTCAACTAAAAATCAGAGAGATAAGATTAAGGTATAATTGTTTCAATTACCTTTATCGTCCCTTTTTTGACTCTTGTTGCTAGACTCCACGCTGAAAACAATTATTATAATTCATTATATCTGGCGATCATTCGGACCATCCTTGTTACAAGGATAACATTTTAGAAATAGTGATTTTTGTTTCTTTTTTTTTTTTTTTTTTTTTTTTTTTTGTTTCTTTTCGAGGCTTAATTAGATACCTCTGTAACTATGTTAAGCGTATAAATTTGGCTAGCAACTTTTGTTTTTATAATGACATCGTTATCATCATAGCCATCGTCGTCGTTATCGTGATCATTATTATTATCACCATCATCATCGTGAGCACCATTATCGATGTTAAAAATGATAAAGACAACAATAACAACAGCAGCAACAACAACAATAATGGAAACAACAGTAATAGTGGGAATAATTAGATATTCGTTTTCGTACACCGTTGCGATACAATTTTTGTTCGATAGAACCCCAGTTTAATGAAATTACTATGTTTTTCATTGTGGTTGCATCCAGTTTTTTCATCATTCGTGAGTAACGAAAGTATGTCCGTGCTGTAAATATATTTGTATATTGCGTATCCCTCTTACACATATGCTTTCCAAAAAATGGAGCATCTGCTTCGTGGTTCTTCCGGGTAGAGGCGCTTCATTGCAACTTGCAACTTGCAACAAGTATTGACACACACACGCAATATATAGCAGTATCTTCTGTGAATGATATGATTGCTTGATGTCGCGTTAAGGCATAAGCGGGATCTGTCGATTGTATGATCTACCTGGAGATGCTAATATCCTGCTACCATGCTCGACGGAACTGCTGTTTGTTTAAATAAACGAATATCTTCATCAGAGAGGGAAGAGGTAGCATATGAAATCGTTTTTCATTGGTAATTGTAGAGCGTGTAACACAGCATCGAAAAATATTCGTTTATGAACAGGAGCTGATTTATACATTAGGACTTGATTTGGTTAAGTTTGCTAGCCAATTTCTCGATTTCTTAACATACTTTCCAGAGTTAAGGATTACAGCCTAAACATACGAGATCGGAAAAGAACTTCGTATGCGATTGAAAAAAAGGGAACAAAGATAATCTTGTGTGCGACTGTGACGAATAATTCGGCTTGGAAATCCATCGTTCGACAGTATTTTATCCTGATGGTACTTTATGCGGCGGAAGAGCATCGCTAGCATAGAGTTGTGTGACATTTTTCGTTGTCGTACCACTGTGAACCGTTTAGCAATGAGAGACCAACCTCTTGCTTCCGTCTCCACCACCGTCCTGCTTGCTCTTCGTCCCGACGTTTCCACCGGACGTTGTCCCTTCCTTGTTGTTGGCACCGGCTTCTGCTCTACTGCTCCCTTTAGAGTCTCCCTTCTTGCTTTCTTCCACTTTCTTCTTCTCTCCACCATCTGCAGAGACAATCAAGGTAGCATAGTCACTTTCTGCGAAGCCAGATTTCTTCTCCCTCCCTAACACTCCAGCTGCTTAGTGGCCTGTATTTCCTGCATGGAATTTTTGTCGAGCCACTAACAAATTGCGGAGCAAATTATGATGACGATCGCATGATTGCAATATCACAAATTCGCTCTTCAATGGTATAATCCATAGCGACCCTACTTTTATCTTTGGTTTCTTTTTTTGATTTTCTAATAACTTAAAAGTTACCTTTGTACCTTCACATGAAACGGACTCTGAACCAAAGCCTAAATTGAAAGAAAAATTAAGGAAAAATCTAAAAGGTAACGCGGAGGGTGAGGTGAGAGAGAAAAGGTTGGAAATGGGAAAGAAGAAAAAAAAGAAAGAGCTGAAAATGTTGAAAAAGGAACACAGGTGCGTACGCGTAGAAACAACAGCTATGATTTCCGCGAATAGCAAAATATGCTGCATATTAAAATAATATGCGACAATTTTAAGTCGATAATTTGAAGGTATTGATTTTTTTTTTCCGACGTGATAAGTAACGATGCATCATCAACCGTATACAGGGAAGAGTTTTGGCTTGACATACACTTGAATCTTCTTGTATCCACACATTACGGAGACCAAACGATCCAACGATGCTCTATGTGGTTAGGTAGAATTAAATGTAACTTTATATCAAACTCTAGCGTTAACTAACTTATAAACTAGCACTTATTGGATAAACTTGTAGAACATAATATCAACATAAACTCTGTTGCTATCAAACTGCGCGCAACGAACACGCCGACGAATGTACGTTTCATTTCAGTTGAAACCTTGTCGATCATTATGCCATGATACATTGCAGGTACGTTACTGCATGTCCACATGACAAAAAGGGGTGCGCATCCATTCCTGCATGTGTGCTTGCTTGCAAATATGGAGCTCGAAGATCAGACGTAAAATGAAGCATGAAGTGTAATTTTGTTGACAAATCCGCACTCGTAATTCTGGATAGATGAGGGTTTACACGTAGATAAGTATGTCCCTTGGTCTTGATGCCAAATACTTAAGTAACTTACTTGTGATCATCAACAATAGTAGTGCTATATTTATTCCTTGAAATCTTATACTATGTATACATACATACATATACACGTAGATAGATGTGTGCCTATGTATGTATGTATATACATATATACATATATATATATATATATATACGTGCAAGTTAATACAAGACAAAACTTACCCTTATGCCTCTCGTGAGATTCTGTCTGAAACATACAAAGTAAAAATATGATAACTTCGATTTATTTCCTTTGTTTCTTTTTTTAATGCTAAAAGTATAATTGAGTTAAATCTATTACCTCCTCAGCAAGGAGATTTTCTTCATCTTCGCCGATAGTTAGATTGATGGAATCTTCGTTGTCGATACCATTAGCCTCAACAGTCGAAACTGAATTAGCCGTCGTTTGATTAGCTACGGTAGCTATGTCAGATTCTACTTTTTTATCAGCAGCCTGCATGTTTTCAGATGTATTTTTATTCGAATGATTCTTAAGTTCCTGCTTGTATTCCATTTCTTTATTAGCATTATTTTGAATTTCATTTTGGGATTCCTAAAATGATATCCCTTTTATTTTATGATCTTTACACACATAGGCTTTTATAGCTTGTAACAAACATACTGATTACACTTACTTCTGTCCTGGACAATATGTCCTCTTCCACGTCAGACTTCGGCTCTGCTTTTATTCTTGCTTCACTAATATTTGATATTTCCATACTTTCTTCCTTTTGATTTTCTACTGTGTCAGTAGATTCATCTTGATTTGTTGTACCTGTTACTAAAACCCGAAATACATTTAACTTAAATTAACGACATTAAATTCGGTCGACGTGTATTATTGTAAATCAGTTCAAAATACCACATACCACTGTTTTTCCTTGGACTGACTTTGCATAATCCTCCGCACGGTACAATCAAATATTCATCCGGATCTTGACCTTCTTCTGTTATAGCCTTTATGTATCAAAATAATAAAGAAATTACCTTAATTATAATAACAATGAAAAGTTTCTGAATCAGAGATGGTACTTTTATTAATTAAATCAGAGACAAAAAAAAAACTTATTCTTCAAAGGTTTGCAATTGCTTATTAAGAAAAAGTGCTTCTTTACAATCATGTACATAGATTACTATTGAAATAAGCTATCGACGATATGAAGAGGGTTAAAATGGCGATGAAGTGTTAACGAGTAGCGCCAAGTATTTTAATAGTAAAAAAAAAAAACAATATAAAGAGCAGAACAATTTACTTTGGACAGACGCTCGAGGAGTGCTGCTTTATTGCCAGTTTTGTCTAGCCCACGACGCTCGAGTTCCGTTTTCAAATCTATAACTCGCAGTTCTGTAAGCTTTTTCCCTTCCACATCGGCCATTATTCTCATACAAAAGTATTCGGCACAAGGCACGCTCAACGCTTTCGACTTTATCGTTCAGGAACGTACAGTCTTACAAGCAAATCGTCATGCATGAAACCCAACGAGGCAACAGAATTTTAACGGACGAGGAGAACAGTTGAACGGTTTCTTAAAATCGCGAACGAGATGTTACAACAACACACTTCGATGCGAACTACCCATCGTCGTCGCCATTTAACGGAAATGACCGGAAGTAATTCCCCGATCAAGCGAGTAGAATAGCCAATCTGAAAGATCGAGAAAGCGTTTCATCGAATTATCACCAGACTATAAGAAAATTTTCTCGTTTTAATTCCAGCTTGAAGTTCGAAATTCTGCGAAATAGATGGCAAAATTTTTCGAACTCGCGTTTAAGAGGATGACAGTATTTATGAGCGAACTAGATAAATTATAACAAAAACATTGGTTAATTTACCAATTGAAATACCATCGACGCTAGTTACAATATTAAAAACGAAAAATACTGCGAAAAATACATTACATGTAATTTACATTCACACGTATGAAGCGAGATTGAATTGTATTATAATTGAAATGTTAAAAGTTTAATCACTATTTGCGACAAAAAAATCTAGACTCTGTTACAATTTTCACGGCCTTGAAGCTGGCAGTGTCACACTCTTTTTGTCAGCTTTGTTATCTTTAATCAAAGGTGCGTGCGTAATGTATCGATTTACGTGACGCATGTAAGGTGAATAAATAAATACGCTCGCTCGAAGATATATACGCAAAGAAATACAAACTTCAACATTTATAACAATTCGTCGCGATGCCTGTAAGTAAAATACTTTTGGTAATGTCGAATATTGTGACATTGTTGGTAGAACATTTTTCATAACCTTTTCAGATTTTTCTTATCTACGTTTTCTGTCTATTAATTTATTGCGAGAACTTCTTCCTTAATTATAATTTTCCTTCTTATTTTTCTTATTCTAGGCATATCATTCAAGCTTTGTCGAGAACAATGGAAACGTCGGAAATATGGCACTTCTGCCAATTAGAACCCATTTTAGGGGTCCTGCACCACCCTTGAACAATAAAGATTTAGATATAATTGATGAAGCATTATATTTCTTTAAAGCGAATGTGTTCTTTAGGACATACGAAATTAAGGTATTAATTTTACATTCAGTTGCAAAGAAGTCAATGTTTGAAAGAACATCAAGTAATCTGTCATTTTAGAGCGAAGCAGATAGAGTTTTAATTTATATTACGCTGTACATAACAGAATGCTTGAAAAGATTGCAGAAATGTGCAACTCAGGCTCAAGCAACGAATGAAATGTATTCTCTTGCTATTTCAAAATTTGACATTCCTGGTGATCTTGGTTTTCCTTTAAATTCTGTATACGCGAAACCAAGTAATCCTGTAGAAGCAGGTAATATAATTTTCTACTGGAATGAAAATTTTCAGGTAAAGAGAAACTGTTGTTTTTTTTCGATGTCCACAGATACTATGAGGCAATATTTGCAACAAATAAGACAAGAAACAGGCGTTAGACTTGTAGAGAAAGTATATGGCGAAGATGGTAAACCAAGTAAATGGTGGCTGTGTTTTGCAAAGAAAAAGTTCATGGATAAATCGTTATCTGGTCCTGGACAATGAAATATATATTTAACGCTATTTTTAAAAATACGCATAATGGATAAACACAGAAATTTATTGTACAGGATTACAGGAGTTCTAATATTCCTTCAAAATAGAAAGACGAAAAATTGGTAAATTCGAGAATATTGTAATAATAGAAATTTATAAGTTAATAAACGTATTATAGACTCATGCGTGTAATCATTCATTATAGGATAGGATAGACATGATATATGGGACTTCCTGTCTGATTTTAAACTTTGGAAAAAGTTCAATGTTTCTTATGTCCTAATCTAATAGGTAACACATCTTATAAACAAGAAACAATACTATGCGACAAAGAAAAAAAATCAGTGTCAGTTACATCATGATAATGTTTCAGTATTTCACAAATCAGACAAATTTTTATTTAAAAAAAATCTAATTAAGGGATAAACTTGTGAAACTTAATAACTTACTTCCTATATACGAAATGCATGATTTTATAAATTGTACTCAATAAATCGAAATACTTGTTCAAATAGTATTTAATTCTTCGTAAATTAAAATTATTTGTAAATATAACTAAAAATATGCACAATTTTAGATATAAATTTTTATTTAATACACGTTATTAACAATTATTATATATTTCACTATTACGCACAACCTATTCGATAAACTTCTGTATGATTTATATTTACATTTTGCCGAATTTATTGAATTTATGAATTTTTTTTCACACAGATTATTTCATTTGCAATATAATTAAATTGAATGTAAAAAAAAAAGAAGTGATTCATTAAGAAAGAAACATTTATTTCGCACAAGATATACCATAATATTGATACAGATATTTTTAATATATCAATGAAATGATGTATCGTGTACACGTGAAGATCATTATTGAGGACATTTAAAAAATTTACCGCTTCCTGCGAAGCGACAAAGAATTTCTTCTCAACCATGCTGCACGACGAGAGCCACCAATAGTTTGTGAATAACGATGTCCTTTGCCTAAACCTCTCGAACTTCTACCAGCTGACGTCTTTCCACGTAATTCACGATGTTTATGTACCGCGTTACATACCCAATTAACTTTTGGATCATTACGAATTGCCTGAAATACAGTCACAATATTGATAATACATTTCTTGCAATTATGCTGTAAAATTTTCATTACTTTTATTATTTATTCAGACATCCAAGGAAGATAAAAAATCACAGTAGTTCAATAGTACGTAATAATATCATCATATGTTTTAAAAGCACATGTATGAACCATTAAATTATTATAAAAATTACCTTATGTGCTGGATCAATCAAGATAACTTCATAATATTTATATGAAGAGTCTTGTGCTACCCAATAACTGTTCAAAACTCGTAGACCGCCACAACGACGACCAACACGTTCCTGAAGATAATTAAATTATAAGATTAAAAATAGACATCGTTTGTTTAATAATCAAAGAGTAAAAACAAAGAAGCAAAATTTATTCTCTATACATTAGATATTCCAATCGTCATGAACTCACTTCTGCAACCGACTGTAACTTTCTAGTGGGTTTTAGTTGATTAACACCATGACTTTTTGGCTTTCCGTAAGTTGCACCTTTGGGAACAGGACGTTTGCGACCACCTCTCCTTACACGAATTCTAAATATGACAAAACCTGCACATTGAGAGCAAAATTCTCATGTTTGTTGCATTGGATAAAATTCTGTGCAATTTAAATTGAAAGGAAAACAGTGTCAGTATATATATATAAATGTATCACCATATAACTGTAAGAGTGGTGCATGAGATTTCATCATACATATTTGTCAAATTCTTGTTATTATATATGAAAATAATAACAAATGATAACAAAAGGAAAAGAAAATAATAAGAATGAAAACTAATGTTATGTATAACTAAAGTACGTTAATCCAATATAACTACTTAGTTTGATCTGAAAATACTAAAATTTAGCAAAGTTTCAGTCACTTCATATAGCTTATTAAGAAATTGTAATTTATACCTTGCTTAGCTTTGTAACCTAAACGACGTGCTTTATCGGGTCTAGATGGACGAGGGGCACGATGCATTTTAGTCAACTGACGATATTGCCAACACCTGACACGAAGCAAGAAGCGAAGAACATCGCTTTGCTTCTTGCGATAAAGCTCCTGCATATACTTATATGCACCCATTGTAGATTCCTGA